TCATTGCCATCTGATTTTAATCACCTTTGAGATTTATGTTATAACGGTTATCCAGGTGATCGATTAATGAGGCGAAGCCACTACACCTACACTGTATCATGTTGATTATGTTAACTTTGGATGACTGAATTAGAATCTAGTGTTTCTCATTTCTGACTTTAATGAATTTAGGATAAGAATACGATCAGCATCCATTGTTAGCGGTGATGATCATTGCACTTTTGATAGCATTATAATTTATTGATAAAATCTCTCTAAAACCTGGATAATTTATCTTAAAGTTGGTTAACAATATGGTAAGTATTTTTGACGCAATTGAATGAATTAAATAATGGATTGGTTGAAGTAAGAAATTAACACCGTCGGGTGCCGGCTCAGTGGTAAAGAGATTAAGCGTTTGCGCGCGAGACCGAAGGTCCTGGGTTCGAATTTTGTGTGCAGGATCATGGGTGCGCACTAATAAGAAGACCCATACTAGGACGAAACGGCCATTCATTGCATACAGGTTTTCAATGGTGGTCTAACATTGACTCATTCATGATATCAATTTTAACTTAACAATCTTCACAACCTTATACTGAAAGAGATTTTAATTATTCCCTAGTTTTCAATCGTTCATAAGCCGACATCATTTTGCGATGAAAATTTGTATTTTCATGAATTATTCTTCACAATCCATTGAATTAAATGATAATACTTTGATTCGCAAGTGATGATATTGGTTCTATTGTTATGATAAAATTATAAAAAGATGAATACTTGATTATATTTAAGAAAAATTGAGCAATCCTTACCATTGAATATCACGTTGTTGTACTATGCATAAAAATATATTCTATTCCATTATGAATAGAATGTATCACAATTAAAAAGCTGTCAAATAGAAGTTATCCATTATGATAATATTAATACAAAAGATACTATTTGTTGACTCACTTCTATAAGTTCTGTATAATGGTTATTAATCAAATGTTCTAAATGATTAAAGCCTATTGACAATGATTGATTAGTTAATAAAACAAACACAGACGTGTTCAGTTCAATTAATTTACAATTAGTTAACCGATTAAATTACGTGATAAAATCCATACACATTGACATCATTATTTGTAAACCAGTGAATAGTTCAGTTATTGATATTTAGGAGAAACGTTTTATCAGTCTTTTTTTCAGTATATGTTTATTGTGTGGTTTCCATAACATAACCATAACGTCATAAGTTCTTTAGAATTACTTTATGAATCCAATCCTCACATGATGTACATATGTTAATATAGACTGATAGAAATTCAGTCCTGAATATCAACAACGAGATAATACAATGATATATATATATATACAATACAATGATATAAAAACACACAAGTTTGTAAGTTTATGGACTCAGTATCTTAGCGGACAACGATTTGGTATTTGAAGCAAAAGGTACTAGGTTCAAATTTCAGTCTGTGGATTAACATTGGAATGCAGGTACAATTACCTGAAAAGTTCCAACTAGGATAAAATGTACTTCCCAAAAATCATAGTTAGGCATAAGCTATTTATACTAAAGAAAACACAAACGTTTATTCAAGATTATAATTTATTTGATACAAGGTGGTTCATTTTGTCTTAATAAACTGTAGAATATGTTTGGTTGACTACTTATTTTGTATTGAACACATATGAAAATTGAAGTTCCTAGCAAATGTTAATAATTGATAATTGAAATCATTTTCGACTTTTTCATGCCAGTCTGAAACCCAAGTTAATCTAACTAGCATCGTTGAAAAAACAACTGGTGTATTACCAAATGAAATTATCTAAAAGTCGTTGACAAATACTTTATATGACAAATTTCATGGCTAATTGTCATGAAACGAGGATAAGAAAGGTATTAACAGTATTTAGATTTCAGGAATGAATTTGAGCATTTTACACTGATTAGTACTAATTGGTGTTTATCATAAGCGTATTAGAACACAATACCACTGTGCCTCATAGCGAGTGCCTGACTTCTAGATTTCTCAGCCTGCATCCAATGGCTTACACGTTTTATTTCATTCAGCTCTAGATATTGTGTGACCATCTTTTAATGTCATTGGTTCATAGCTGCTTCACACTAGAAATGAATTTCATAGACCCAGAATCATCAAAGCATCCTTGAAAACAAAGAGGGAAGGAATCATAATGAATGTTATTCAGTGTTATGCACCAACCAATGATAGCAATGGTGATGACAAAGATCAGTTTCACGAGAGGCTTTAATCGATCATAGCGAAGTGCACAAGAAAAGGCATTTAATCCTAAAGGCAGATCTAAACAACAAAGTCGGAATGAACATCACTTAATAGGAAGATATCATGGGACGGCATGAACTGGAAGTGACGAGTATGATGAGTTATTAGAAAATCTATGTGCGTTCAACAAAATGGTTATGGTCGGAATCATATTACCAAACAAATGCATACATATAGCTAAAAGGGTCTCACCGGACCATACTACAGAGACTCATGTCGATCGTATTTGCATCACTAAAAAATACAGATCACTGGGTATGAGAAACAGGAGAGATGACATAGTTCCACATCACCACCTGGTGGTTGCCAAGATGAAACTGAAGCTAGAGAAGCACTGGACAACTGGAAAAGCAGCAGTACAAATCTTCAATACAGACATCTTATGAGATGCTGACAAACTCAACGAATTCAAGATAACTTTCAATAACAGCCATACAAGATCTGCTCACAGAAGAAGAAACTACTATGGAGGACAATTGCAAAGCAGTCAAAGAAGCACTAACCTCAACGCGTAAGGAGGTGCTGGGCCTCAAAAAGCATTATCATAAGGAGATCAACAGATTGAATTCTGTAATGATCGATTGTCCACAGACCAAATCGCAACACTACGGACAATCGTTGAACAATCAGTTGAGTGGAACTCGTCACTATACATCAATTCCCTTGATTATGAGAAAGCATTTGACAATGCGAATAGGAGAACCTTATGGAACCTTCTTCGACACTACGGTGTAACTGAAAAAATCGTCAACATCATACGGCGAACTACACTGCAAAGTTGTGCATGGAGGACAACTGAGAGACGTATTTCAATTGAGAACAAGAGTCAGACAAGATTACTTCCCCCCCTTTTCTATCTTTTCTCGTGGTTGATTGGATTATGAAGACGTCCACATCTGATGGGAAGCATGTAATAAAATGGACAGATTGAATGTAACTAGACAATTTGGACTTAGCAGATTACCTGACCCTTCCATGTCATACACATCAACAAATGTAGATGAAGGTAACTAGTATGGCAGAAGCCTCTACATCAGTAAACCTCATCATCCACATGGGAAAAACCAAGATTCTCAAACAAAATAAAGAACACCAACCAAATCACACCTGGTGAAGAAACTTTGGGAGATGTTTAATCTTTCACGTACCTGAGCAGGATCACTGATGAACAAGGAGGATATGATGTAGACGTAAAGGCAAGGATTGGCAAGGCATAGACAGCATTCCTACAGTTGAAGAACATATGGAATTCAAAACAACTGTCAACCAACATCAAATTGAGAATCTCCGATACGAACGTCAAGACAGTTCTACTGTACGGAGCTGAAACTTGGAGAACCACTACAACAACCATCAAAAAAGTGCAGGTGTTTACAAACAATTGTCTACGTAAGCTACTCAATTTCCGTTGACCATGAGCAACAGCCTACTTTGGAAGAGAAAAAACCAGCTCTCAGACGAAGAAGAAATTAAGAAAGGAAGCTAGAAGTCGATAGGACATACATTTCGGAAATCATCAAACTGCGTCATGAGGCATGTGTTAACTTGAAATCCTGAAGGGAAGAGGAAGACCAAAGAACATAGTGTCGAGAATTGGAAGCAGACGTGAAAGGATGAATAACAACTGGAAGGAACTGGAAAGGGTAGCCCAGGACGAAATTGGATGGAGAATGCTGGTGGGCGGCCTATGCTCCATCACTAGGGATGAGAAACGTTAGTAGTAATGTTCGTTATCAAATCTGAAATTGTCATTCGATCTATCACATAATTGAATGTGTCATTAAGGGCTTAACACTTGATTTAATTTCAATGACCGCTCAAATATATATATTTAATGTATTGTCTACTTTCAGAGAAAAGTTAGGATAATTGGCACAAAATCGACACCCAATGGTCGTTCTTAAAACAAGCATAGTAGGACTGTTGTCATGTAGCTTGTGAGAGCCATCAGTGGGACTTTTTAAGTGATAAATTTTTTTTATCTCATATGGTCACGTAATTAATGAACAGTATTTCATGAAATATGAACGTTTCTTCTCTACCATATTATTGTTTTCGGACAAGGGATCAAAGGTGAGGTTAAGAACTTGTTCATTGAATAACTCTTAATAAGAGTCAGGCACAATTTCAAAAATGGCCCGAAAACTCATTATGGATTAGCTTTCAATTTTTTTATTGCTCTGTGTAGTCAGCTAAGCTGACTTTATGGAATAATGCTGACTTGTTATCTCTTGTATGTGATACATTCTTTCTGCAAGTTAAGAAAACGCTTGAACTTCTATCTTAAATACTAAACAAGTTTCCTATTCTTGACACTTATTAAGATCATCAATAAATTTTATCTATGACTTAACTAGCCTAACAATTTATCTATCACGATTATTCCATTATTTAAAGTGACGATTGACAATTGATAAAAAAAATTCGAACTCCTAGGATGAAATATCGACGGCCAAACATAAAGAATTTATAGGATACGTTTTATAATGAGGAAATTCGGTTCAAGTGGCAATAATCTTGGAAAACTGAATTTTAGATTAAGACCGATATTTAGGTATATAGTGTGGTATGGTATAAGAATAATAAATCAATAATCATCCAAACGAAATCTAAATCATATAAACACACAAAGTTCTGGTCAAAACTAAAACACTATCAACTACAAAACTATTCCAGATAGATATCCATCATGAAAACTATGAGTAATTAACACATAAAAATATGGTACACATATGATGTATAAATTTTACTTTAGAAATTGATTACAGAAGCAGGTATCATTTGAAACAAAACCACACCACACACACACAGAAACACGCACACACACATAGAATCAAATGAAGTTGTATACATTTGACAAACATTTTTCTTTCTAAAAATACAAATAAACTATTCATTACTGTTGTCAGTTTGTTTGTTATCCTGTCTTATAAAACAATATCATCATCATCATCATCATCATCACAGGAATTCATTGAAAGAAACAAAGTATTTGAAATAAAGAATTTGTAAAGAAAGAAAACTTTCGAACAATTAACAAAAGTAATAATAATAATATTAATAATACTAATATTAATAATCGGAATATGAAATTATTCGATACAACCAGTTAACAAGATCTTGTGGAAAATATGAATTAGATGACAATAATGATAGTTATATCAATAGTGATAATAATAATAATAATAATGTAAGGATTATACAACAATTTGTGCGATGAAGAGATAAAGGACAGTAATTAAATTCATCATAATCATATTAATTATAATAATAATATTTTAAGAGATCAAAGTTTACATTCAAAGTTTATTAAATAAGTAAATTCACCAGGTAAAATGTAAAAAGTAACAAGAGATAGAACAGTATCAACTTAGGATACCTGATGTAAGTAAAATTGTGTGTGTATGTGTTATCTCTATTTGTTCAGTTTTTTGCATCTTATTGTTCAATCTTTTTTTAGTGTAATATTTAAAACATCATTAGTGTTCAATTGTGCTCTTTGTAGAATTACAATGAGCACAGTCACTGTTCATATTGCATAATATTTCTTTTCATTAAAAAGAAAAGTTGGTTTGGACAAATTAAGCAAAAACAAAACAAGCGGAACTGTGAAGAAAGTTATGTTTTTTAAGTTAAAAATTATACGTTTATGGTGCATAATCATCATCATCGTTAACATTAACAGAGAAATGAAAGGTAAATAGATAAATGATAAAGAATGAACAGCATACAAAATATAGATATTGATAAACACATAGTTATCATATCGACATCTAAAAATGATCATCATTGTGTTTCTATGACAACATTAATTTAAAATAATGAAAATAACCTGATAGATGGAGATTATATGCATGTTTCGTACATTATATAATGAATTGAAATTATACACATATGTAATAGCGTACATATATATGTTATATTTATATAAAATGGAAGGTGCATACACTAATTCCCTAGAATATAAACTCAATGAAGTGTCTATGATTTCTTTTTCAGTTTAACCAACAATTTTCTGGAAACATATTCCAAAAACTCCTTTATGCATACATACCTTTGTCATTATCACTTCGAGGATAAAGTAATGACTCAGAAGCTGGACCGTCATTATTACCCTGTTTAGTGAATACAGTAAGGTTACGATCTTCTAAAGCTGTAGTACGTTTGCCTACAACAATACCTCCAAATGCAAGATCACATGCAACGTCATCAAATGTCCGATTTTTAGTTTCTGGCATAAACAGGAAAAAGAAGATCCAGCAAATCACAACGACCACAAGGAAGGGCAAAAATGAATAACCACCGATGTTTTTCTGAACAGATAAAGAAAATGTAAGATATACAAAAAATAGTTTAAATATATTAAACTGTAGCAACGAATAGAAAAAATATTTCATTATTATTGTAGGATATCTTTGAAAAATGAATATAGTAATCTCACTGTGAGATTAGTTCATCTAACAGGTTAAATGCACAGAACTTGGAGATATATGTTTAATTAAACCTAGCAGGATAAAGCTGAATGTTAACCGCCTTAATGCAAAGCATTTTAAATCTTTCCAGTTATTCCGAGATTTCGTATTATTGTAGCATCTTTTTTTCGCAAATCCAAACAATACAAATACTAGACAATTTTCTCAGGCACAAATTAGATTAATGATTATCAATATTCATACAATACAACTGTCTTTACAAATTTGTAAGGACTATATTAAACTGGTCTCTAAAGAATTACTAATAAAATTGTCAGTGAAATTGGTGGTTGGCGCACATGTAATGATAATGTCAGTTTACAGAAAAAGGAGCATCACAAAGTTGATACTTGGTACTAGCTTTTGCCAACCTGCGTCATTTATGGCGTAGGCGAGATATCCGTCTATCAACCAAAGGACATGTTTACTGAGCAGCAGTTCGTTCCGTCCTACTTTATGGCAGTGAAACGTGGCCGGTAAGAGTAGAGGACATTCGTAGGTTACTAGTATTCGATCGTAGGTGTCTTCGAAACATTGCTCGTATATCCTGGGACCATCGAGTAAGTAACTCAGTTGTTAGGAAACGGGTACTAGGTAAGGATGGCAAATCGATTGATGAAGTGGTGAAACTTCATCAGTTGAGATAGCTGGACCACGTGTTACGCATGCCCAACAACCGACTGCCTCGACGTGCTATGTTCAGTGGTATAGGAGTAGGTTGGAAGAAAGCTAGAGGCGGCCAGACCGAAACATGGCACAAGTCCATGAAGTCACTGACAAGTGGACTGAGTCATATTGGTAGGTATAGACTACCTGGTTGGGGACCGCAAGATGATAGCAACCGATGGTAAGAGACCCTGAATGACCTGGCTCAAAATTGTCTGCAATGGCGCAGGTGCATACACTCTTTGTGTTCTCCCAAATTTTAATCTCCTGATTCCTCCTTGTCTCTTTTTTCTCTTCCCAAATTTGTTTCACTGAATTATACTCTTTAAATAACATCTCCAAACCCTAATCTTCCTGATTACTGCTTATACTCTTACTACCTCTACCACTACGGGATTTGAATCGACAACTACATCTCTGTGCTAATGTAGCATGGCAACTCGAACTGATGTACGTACGTACGAAGTCCTACGTTGTTACTGACTGACATGGTAAGTATGAATTTGATAAGTTGTACAACTTTTTTTATGATAACATTTCCATTTATGGTCACTCAATATTTTGCATAGTAGAATAAATATATATGTAAAGTTCAATAAGGAATACTTGATCAAATCTATCTTTATCATAACAAAGATAATTCACTTACCTGTATAACGGGATAACTACATAACACAATTAGATTTGATAACCATTGAATTGATTGACTAAGTGAATAAGCTGCAGCACGTGGACCTTGTCTAAATATTTCTGATACAATTAATGCAGGAACTGGACCTAAGCCGAGTGCAAAACTGCATATATAAACTAATATCAAAATGATCGATATTATACCCATAGCAGATCTCGCACCTACCGGACCAGAATATGCCAAATTAACAAATATTGTAAGTAATAACAAGGATAAAGCTAATGATACTGTAGGCCATAATAATAAAGTACGACGTCCAGCACGTTCGATTAGTGGAAGAGAGACTACAGTTACGATAACATTAAGAACTCCAATAGCAAAGACACAATATTGTAAGTACATATCAGGAATACCAGCTAATTCTAACATAAGAGATGAATATGTTATAACCTATATAACACATAAAAAAAGAAAATACACAAAAATATATATATTTTGATAAAATTAAATTTACTCAACAATATAGAGGCTAATAATCTATTAATACGAATAAATGTAGAAAGATAATGATCTACAGTAGAAACATAATATCCATTGTTTGAATGAATGATCTTTAATATTTGCATGAGAGCTCATTGTAAAAAACGAACGTTTAACTCAACCTATGAATACACTACATTCAATCTTATTTGTCACAACCAATGTTAAAGTGGTCATTGTTTTTATGCACCAAAAGAAATTTAGACGGTATAACAGTTAATGATTCAAAGTAAGTCTTGATTGATAAACTGACAGTTCTTTTACTTATATTTATAGGAAAGCAAAACTTTAATGAACTGAAATATGTTGACCTTATATCTATATATATGTCATCATGGATAGTTAGATACTCGACACTGAGTTACCGACCATATAAACTTTGAGAATAGAATATTAATTCAAATGAATGTAAAATTAAGTCCAAAACATCTCAAAGGAATATTAAGTGAACTTCCAATATGACTTCAATACCTGACCATAAAAATAAATATTTATGAGATTCTAACTGACAAGTTATTCACTCATCTACTCCATGTTTGTAGATTTATTTGCAATAGGTAAACCTCTTCTAGAAAGTCAGTTATGGTAAAGTGCCAACCTAAAATAATGATTATCAAATGAAATTAGAATTCTTTTATCATCCTTACATAAGTGAAAGCATCTAAAAAGCTGACAGAGACAATTCACTTCATCATCTAGTATCCATTATCATGAAATATTTTAGAATTTCATATAAATGTTATCTATAATATAGTAGGCAGTAATTAACTAATTTTCAACGCATATTTTAATGTTTAAATCCAAGTAACAAATTTCGAGTAATTTTCTATATTGTCACTGAAATAACCAAATGGATTAAACAACTTCTCTTCACGAAAATCTTATTTCCTTGGTTTGATTTTATAACACAATTGTAATCTCTTCATATTCATAATAAAACGGATGAAATAAACAATTCATAATATCATTAAGAAGTGAAAAACTATCAATACTATGTTAGGATAACCAATTTATTGTCTTCCTACATTGTGAAAACCATACATTAAATACTTCATTTGCACATCTTCCATCAGTTGTCCTTTACATCCTTCATGGTTCTTTCAACTCTCAATTCCTTTCCGTTTTCTTCAGTTTAATCTTCTCGATTGTATTTTGATAGGTATCCCGCTCCCAATTAGTGTTATATACTACTTGCGTCTGTCATTATAAGTAGCATACACCACAACTATACGGAGGGAACTACAGTATAGTAGTAATCAGCTTCGTTATAACTGAAGTGTGTGAGAGAGAGAAATGTGCTATGATCGCCAAGAGATCATTATTATATCGAGTTACTGACTAAAATTGTGAGCAATATACTGTACACAAAATCAGCGCAATAAACATATCAAAAAAATTCATACACTAAATAAATCATATTGAAGTAATACAATATAACTAACCGCATTAATTCCGGATAATTGTTGTAAAACTTGGATTAAACAAGCAATAAGCACTGGCATTCGAAGATCTTTTTGTGTAAATAATTGTGTAAATTTAAAAACTGGTTGATTTTTCGCGACTTCAATTTCCCCACGCAATTCACCAATGAATGTATCAACATTTTCTTTAACATTTAATTGTAAAAATGCTTTGCGTGCCTCAGCTTCTTTATTTTTTTTCATGTATAAAAATCGTGGACTTTCAGGACAAAATGGTAAAATAACCAATGACACAGCTGCTGGAACAGCACCCAAAGCAACAGCAAGTGGCCATAGATTTATTGTGTTCAACAGAAATGAAAATGTAATGAAATACGAGAAAGCAATACCAATGGTTACAGCTAACTGATGACAAGCACCAATACCACCACGCAGATCACGTGGTGCCACTTCAGTTAAATAAAGTGAAGCTATGCCAATTGTAATGCCACTATTAATACCAATAACAAAACGACCAACATATAATAACACAGGTTGCTTGACAAGAACACAAGGACCAACAATTACACCACCGATAATGCCAATAACATTATTGAGTAATAAACCATTTCGTCTATAATATTAGCAACAAAAAACAGAAGAGGAAATTGCTTGAAATCGATCAATACTCTGTCACTCTTATGTCAAGAGAATGACAAAAAGTTTTATAAATTGAATAAAATAACTGTATATTTCACAATATCTGCATAGTTAGTAACAAAACTCAAGTATGTCAGATCAACATAATCCAATAATGCTGATATGGTTAAACTCATCAAGGATTCATTCATGATAAAATAGAATTACTTCCATATTTAGTATATATGCTCCTAGTACTCCAGTGGGTACTACTAGAGTAGTGAACGAAAACTTAGATGCGGTAAACCAATTTACTTTTTAATACAAAATTGCATAGTTCTTTGATGAAATGTGAGAACCATACATTAAATATTTCATTTCCAAATCCTATATCAATTGTCTCAAACTTCATTGTCCCTTCATCGCTTTCACAATTACTCTCTGTTTACATTCCCGTTCTCTTTGATTCGACTTTCTCAACCTGTTGCCAGGCATTCCACATCTATTGGCGTTATATACTAATTATGTTGACAGACATAATCCCGTAATTATTGACAGAAAATATATATTCAATGTGACCATTCAACCTCGTAAAATAAGTAATTACTAGTGTGGATATAAAATCGATCTAACAGAGGTTTACGCTGAGTAAAATATTTTGTTGGTATAACAACTCCGACACATACTTTTTGCCCCCAAATAGCCTGATACGGTCGATGATGAGGAGAGTCAACCCTCCCTCTCGAAATGCTCTCACAGAGCCACGTGCATACAACCACTGCCAGCAAAGTCCTACTCACTGCCTTCTCGTGGCGGGGGTTGTTTACGAAACTGAGAGGACAAAAAGCGAATGTCCGGCACTTAAACCGGGTTGTTGGAGATAGTGGATCCATCTACGGGAGTTGGAAAACCATGATTCCGAACCAATGGTGCACATGGGCTCCAGGATCCTAAGAGAAAAAGTGGCGTACGAACCAATTATTGGTCACCGGCTACCATGTGACTGCATCTAACGTTGCTCCACTGCCTTGTGGATCAGACCTTTAGGTCAAAAGCTCCGAGTGTAGTCCCCTAAGAAAACTACCTGTTTCGGTTTGGGCACCCGGATAGTATCCCAGCCCTCACACAAATCGAATGATTTATATGACGCATATCTGTTTGGTGACTCCGTGTACCAATATCTATGTGTTAAAATAAACAAATAGTAATACGAAAAGAAAATCACTTAATTAATGTTTTATGGTTACCAAAAAATCGTTCAAAATTTCATGATTCTGTCAACTTATCGCCTCAAATAAGATTAATGTTACTTGTTTTTATTCACTATTAATCATACATCGAATCAGTAAATTAAAAAAAAGAAACGAGTGAAGAGGAGAAACATTCATTGAACTTATAAAGAAATGAAATACAGTATCATTAAACATCTCTTTACAAATCGATTAAAACATACCACTAGGGTCAGTTAACTTAATTAATCGCAAAATTTTAAACTATTGAATAGTTTATTTGACATTTAATTCACATGTTTAACGGTCATACATGGATAGTTGGATAGTCTGATTTATGATAGTAAACAGTTTGCAATTATTTAATACTTATCTATGCAAAATAGATAATTAGTAATACAGTTATTATGTTTATCTCATGGAATAGCATTAATCGAAAAGGTTTTAATGAAATAAAAATGATGTAAACTACGTTTGTTGTTACGTAATCTATCAATATTCATGTCGATAATCAATTTCCTTCAAGTAATAAAGATTAATATCAGATGGGTTTTGTGGATATTATAGTAATTTCAATGGTTAAGATCATGAGTCAGTTGAAGCTAGACCACCATGGAAAACCTGAAAGCACTGGACGGCCATTTCGTCCTGGCACCTCTGAGGAGTCCCACAATAGGACGAAACGGCCGCCCAGTGCTTCCAGGTTTTCCATGGTGCTCTAGCTCCAACTGACTCATGATCTTAACCATTGAAATTGATAAAGATTAGTTATTCAGTAGATCGAGAAATAATATTCTAAGGTCTTACATGTTCTAAAACACTAAAACCAATGTTATTCTGAAGTCAAGAAATGATTACTTTTAAAAAAACGTAGTAACAATCAATTAGAGGTGATATTTTTTTCTACTTACCGACCAATTCCATCAGCTACCCAACCACAACTGAATGCTCCTATCGCAGCGGCAACTACAAATATTGTACTGACATGAGTGTAGAAGAAGTTTGAATCTAATTCTGGAGTATTTGGAACAACTGTCTCATTGAAATATGTTTCAATATTCTATAAATTATTTAGTAAAGATTAGACATTAAGGTAAAAACCTTATTAAAAACATAGTGTATTGTTAAAATATGAAGGGGTTACCTAGAGAATAGCTATGATAGAATATGGTTTAACAAACAAACAATATGAGTGACTGTTTCATCTACCTACAGCTTAGTTTCATTATCCATAATATTATTAACTTAGGTACAAATTGTAGTCTCATATGTTTAGCTTAAACATCAACTACAGTTATCACAAGATAGGGAAACATAGAAACTAAATTTTCATTGAAGTATAGCATCAACATGAGATGCCAAAGTACTTGATAATACTGTTTGAGCGGGTGGATCCCCTACAATTCTCCAAGTTTCTAAACACCTCATGAAGTTCTTCTAAGTTTAACTAATTCATATTCTCTAAAATCGTATCTTTATCTATTCTTTTTTATTACCATCAACACTTTTGCTGTCGCTAGTACTCTGGAATTTATCATGTATCTCTCTGTATTAATAGGGGTATGGCAACTTGAACTAATATACACATGTGCCTATGTTGCATCAAAATGATTAACTGAATGACTGACTGATGGTGTAAAGCTTCCAGGTTGAAGCTTGTGGTACAATCCTTTCCTGCTTTTGAATGAACCTAACTAAATATTAAACATATTATTCTAAGAAATAACCATTAACTTACAACTCAACATATAAGTAAATTATATTACCGTATTACATCACACCTATTTACCAATAAGGTTACCTTATGTTGCTTTGAAGTGTCGTCTAATTTAGTGGTTTGCTGATATTAGTTCACAAAACTCGATGAGTTAGCAATCGTGTAACTTTAAAAAGTGTTTATCAACCAGTATTGACTGTATACATGTATATTTAATTATTTTTAACCAAAGTACTTCAGTTCCGTTCGATAGAAATTACCAGCATAAACATTCTGGAGAGGCATTAGTCATTATAACTGTAACTAAGCGAGAACGTAATCATATGTATGAGAACTATCTGGCCGACTATGTAGTATTCTATACTTTTGGTGCACAAAAATTCCAGTGTTTTGAATTTGAATGTAAGAGAGCCTTAGGTATTCCTGAATGTTGTAGGATGTTTTTTTGGAAAATAACACTAACGAAAAGTAGATTCGAACTCCTACTCGATTGGTTTTATGCTATGACACGAAACTACACCATCACGTAACTCAATTAAATGATCATTCAAGTTCCAGTACCGAAAACACAGTCAACCTATTCCTCTCACTTCAATAAAAGTAAAATTAACTATTTAACTTAACACGTTCAACTTGCTGGTACATATGAAATTACTAATTACGATATTCATATTATATATATATATATATATATATATATATATATATATATATATATATATCGTCAATGAATATTACTCACCTTTCTCGGTAGATTCAAAACTCCAAGATTGTATCCGATTAGAAATGATGATCCAATACATGTTATAATGACAGTTAAAACAAGTTTCCCTGTGATACCGTTATTCTATAGAATAATGTAAAAGATATGAAACTATACTGAATGATAAAATAATGTTCAACTGATTTATTATTAAGGAACCAAATATATACACTATGTAACAAAAGATACATCAATTATAAATTTGTATTGTATCTGTATACGATATGTTCATATTATTGAATTGCTCAATAAATGTCTTACAATTTTTGATTACACCCACAGTGATCATTATTTGGTGAACTGTTATTGATTTTATTAATAAATAATGCATCATTTATGATAAACTTCGAGAATAACTTTACGAAACAGCTATTCACTATATCTCAGTTTCCTGGTTCAATCAAAGAGGATGTTGTTCAAATCAATTATGAAAGCTTCACAGTCAAATGATCCACCACAGAGAACACAACATTATCAAAATATTTAATCGATTTAAATCTATGATGGAAACCAACTTGAAAATACATGTTGATTTTTGATATAAAATCGATATAAAAGATTCCTAGCTAATATCATTATCAATCATAAGATTATGATATTTTTTAATTATAATGTTCCATTCAATGATCAATACATAAGTAGATTTTTCTAACGTCGTCTTTCCTATTATGCGTTCACTTAATCATATTCTTGTATTTGATTTCACGATATCTTACAGTGAGATCATTTGTCAACGCAAAAAGATTTCAATCAACAACTTTCACCGTTTAAGATTCAATAATAGACATTTCCTAACTCAAGTGAAAATGGAATCCTAGAAAGATCATCTTTTTTCAGCCTTTCGTCTAACAATATATCCATACATAAGTTTACCATAAAAAACTTTGTAATCACAGGAGCATTAGTAAATATCAATATGATAAAAATAAATAGTCAATAACTATGTTCAATAATCATTATTGAAATTGAAAACGATACTTACTGAAGCAACTCCCATCTTTTAGTTTAAGTCGTCAATCTAAAATGAATTATGCCACACCTCCTCAAACTTTTAAACTTATTTCAAATACTCCGCCCACTCATTACAATTGTGACCATTTGGGTCTGAGCTTATCAATTCACCAATCAAATGATTATAAATAAACTAGTGAATACTTTTACTAAATAACCAGTAGGATAGGAAATAAAAGATTTTCTTATTGTTCATTGGATTAAATTTTCAATTCATGATACACACCCTAATTAGCTTGTACTGATTGGTTAATAAAATGTTGTCAAGACACTATAGAAAAAGCTTTTTTTTTTAAGCTATCGTCTTTTATTTTGTAGAGTTCAAATAGGCATAGAATAGTATTCCGACTAATAACACAACATAAATCATGACTGTAGGTATGTCTAGAAATGTATCAAAATAACTGAAATACTAGCTGAATAGGCCTACGTGACACTATCAGTCTAAGTTATATAGTTTTGAATAAGATTTCTAGTCACATTTCTTGTAATAATTTAGTTCAACAAATTAGTTAAATATTCTTTCTATAAAAAAACAAAACAAAAGAAAACAACTAGTATCCTAATTAATTTAGACTACAAAAATAGCATGAACTAATGTTAGTTAACTGTATATTTCACTTTGTTTTAGTCTTTCTATAAAGTCATGTGATAAATAAATAACTGTATGTAGTTAAATAAGAGTTTTTTTTGTTTCAATGAACTTAAAATCTTCTTAGATATAGACTGAAAGTCGTCAAAACATTCAGAAGAATTTACTGAAACTATAGCTGGAATGAATTCACTAAGTATAGTTTACTTGAGTTTTCCCATTGATGTTTTAGGACTGCAATTGATCAGTCTCCAATTAGTATATATGCATACTGTGCGTATTGCCTCGATATTGCCTTAATTTACAGGTTTTATAAACAAAGATGGATAGTGACTAGCAATGGAGTTCAGGAAGCACGTTTCGTCCTATTGGGGACTTGTCAGCTGGATGTACCTGCATCTCGGAGTTGATGTTCACTCTGGAACTTGAACCCAGTACCGTTCGCTTCATACGCAGGACTCAGTAGCTAAATGGATAACGTGATGGAGTTTGAAGCGAACGGTAATGAGTTCGATTCCAGGAGTGAACATCAACTCTGAGATGCAGGTGCATCCAGCTGACGAGTCCTGGATTCCACTGCTTGCCAATATCAATCTTTGCTTATATAGTTGAAATGTTTATCAGTATAGGAATGATGTGGTCAAGTTATGCAGATGGATAATTAATTTAATTAGAATGACGTTCTTCATAAACAAAATATTATAATGGGTTTATATTTGATGAAATCATGAAACGAAAATTGATTGCTGTACTCCTAATGAAAGATTGTTCGTGAATCTCATTATTTAATTTAATTAAATTTCTTAGAACAGATAATGAGTCATGGAATTCATCGACCTAAAGAAATGTGACTGGTAAATCTCTACTAGAATATTCAGGCATTTTAATTGTCTAACGCTACAGATTAGTGAAATCGTAAAAAATCATGATTATTTTTCTTGGGTTTATTCAAAAATGTGACTAGTAATAATAGTCAATTTACATTTGTACTGACATTCATGGTTCCAATTAACTCAAGATAAATTATAATAGACTGATTCTGAAGACTGGCTGAAGAATTTACTATGATACTTTCTACATCGATCTTGAATAAAAGCCTCACATGAATAAAGATAGAGTTTGAACATGCAGAAAATCAGATGTTTATTCTTCATAACGCTAGATGATCGTCATGCTGTTATGAATCAGATTAAGTTAGAAACGTGAATCACTTAATACAGACGTAATAGCTGAAAAATATTATTCTCCACTAGAGGCCTAGTATTTTTATTCTCATGGGGTTTGGGGGTGTTCTGCTGTGAAATACCAAACTAAAATGAAGTGTGTCATCAGTAGTCCTTCTTTTTAACTTTTATTTTGCAGAGGCGTGAACTTCCTACAAATATAACGCACTACAACTGGTACCATATTGAATGGTTAAGCTAAAACGAAAGAATAGTATACATTTTTTATTTTGTAATTAAAACAATTTTCACAACAAGTTTATGAAACGTGTAAGTTCTGAACATTCAAAACATGACCTCTATCTCGGAAATTCATAACAAAGACGAGTAATTATCTTAAGGTCAAGTTTATGTATAATATATTAACGTCTAAAATGGCATGTTATAGGATGTTTGACGTAGTAGTAACATGATTTAAAAAATATAAATGTCAGTAATAATGCTAAAGATTTACACAGTTATTTCATTTTAAGTAGGCAGAGTGATTGTGTTTATAATTATTCACAATATAAATCAATCTTTTGTAGAGTAGACAAGTATTATGCAAGTGTATGAAAATCCCAAGTATCTTGAACAGATTGACGTATAGTCTAAAGAGTAATGAAAACCGGTTAATTGAGAACAGTTCATAGATAAAAGGATGGAAATCAGTTATCTACCCGATAAATGTGAACAACAACAACAACTCATCAAAATTTTTTATTAACTTAAACTGAGTGCTTATGATCATGTCAGAGATAAAGACTGAATCTATCAACTATGAATACCTGGAGTAAATATAAGCTCGGGGGTCCAAGTGACCCCAGATGACTAGTCACAAATGGAACGAAACGCGCATCCTAAATTTTATTTCCAGTCATTATCCTTTTCCAATAAGGACATCATGTTAGCTGTACCGACTGGACTGTTTAAAAAACGTTAAGGTTATCCAATAGTGTTGTATCGTTTCCAAATGGAACTACTGTCGAAATGAACCTCCAAAAGACCTGTTATATTAGCCTACAGTTTTAAAATACTAGCACTATTTAAATGTTTTTTCCTGACATAATTATTCTGATACAGATGAATGTAGCTCATTAACTTTGTGAAGAATGTATACAAAGTTATCTTTGGTAGAGTGGAGGGAAACAATAAATTTTCTTCATTGTTCAAAAACAGTGGTGAGTTAGAAAGTATCGGTCATTGAAACCAATTCATATTATGCTGCCGATGCGATCTTGGAAGCAGCTTTGTTGGAGGAACATTTTGGTACTATAGGTATTTCGACTTTTAGGATCCTGATGTTATTTATTTATTGAGAGATAAGGTAACGGCTGATCAAATCTGATTTGGTTAGTTGAAAATCAATCAGCTTATAGAGTTTATTTAAAACATTAAAATGCAAGGCACTTTTCAAAACAGAAAAATTTGTGACTTTACTCACTAGTGATTGTGAATCATTGAAAGTAGTTTTATAATCTTTGTAGCTGGATAATTTTATGACTGTTGTACGGCAAATAAGAACAAGAATTAATGGCGAAGATGAATCCTTCTGTTTTGGACACATTTAGTACAGTTACAGTGTTAGTCTGTTCATAGTTAGTTGTGTTCACATTGTTTCGATGCAATTAATACTATTCTATGGTTATGAAATCTAATATTTAAATCGATAATATCTAGTAACTCCTCAAGTTTAATCATTTTTGAATTTCAGTATTAATCAGTATTTGATAACTATTATATATTATTACTATATTTCCGTATCGGGTAGAGACAGGTATCCACCTCAGACAATCATGAATGATTGATCGAGATCTACTGAAGTTAGATAATAATATCGTTGGATGTCTGCTCAGTGGTCTAGAAGTTAGACGTTCGAGTGAGACACTGAAGGTCCTGCGTTCTAATCGAGGTCGTGGATGCTCCCTAACGGAAAATCCCATACTAGGACGAAACGGTCGTTCATTGCTCTCAGGTTTTCAATGCTTGTATAGCTTAAATCAACTCACAAATTCAACTATTATTATTAGGATTGACATTACTAACTAATAATTAATTAATTAGATGTGCACGATCAATAAAAGCAGTCATTAAAGGTTACTATATTATTAATAAGTTCATGATAAATTTTTGAATCAACAATTAATAGGATAATTGTTGAAAGCTCACATGATAAATTACCTATGTTATTGATGCATTTTCAAAAGAAGATCTAATTTTTTCAATATTTCTATATCAGCAATGTTGAGCATTATGGATTCAATATGAAACTAAAGTGTATCTTTAATTACATATCATGATAGTTCAGTGTTTAAATGCTAATTATCACTTTTGATATGTAGATAATTTTGTCTGTATTATTGGTTAAAATGAAACTAATTCAATTGTAATCATTAGCCTCAGGCAATGGATGATTACATTAAGAAATAATGTACTGAATATTCGATATTGTTGTTCATTTTTGCTATACAGACATAATTCTGATGGCATGTTCCAATGTGTTTGAAATAGGAAAAAGATTCAAAGATTGAGTTTTATTGTTCACTAACATCACGCATTTCTAATACATAATGACATATATTGTATTTTTAGTTGTAATACAAACTCATATCTCAGGGTAAATTGATTTTAGTCAACAAAAATAAATAACAGCAAACTCAAAACTTTATTCAAAAATGAACGCATCACTTTATTGAACTTGAGTAGTATAACTCCCCAAGGAGCCTCTCTGGGGCTATTGCTGGTGTCAAACCCGCATAAATGAGGAGAGTTGGGCATGGGATTAGCGACAACATCTCGTCGAAAACTAACTCGCTAAAAAAACGCTAAGTAAGTAAGTAAGTAAGATAGTAGTATAGTTCGATGTCATGAAGCATATTGTTTAAATGAATTTTTAAAGTTAATTAATGTTAGATTAAAAGTGTTTCATCCAAATGTTCCTATGGTGTATGCTACTCATGTTGACAGATATAAATATTACGTGTTATTAATCAGAAATAGAATGCTTGGCAGCAGAAGATTGAGGAGAGAGCAATTGTAATAACAACAGGATTGTAAAAATTCTGAAGTATGTAAAGGACTACTGAAGGAAGGTGTGTAAATAATGTATTGGATATATGGGTTTTATATTTTAAGAAATCACTTTGTAAGTTTACATTAAACAATAAATTGGTTTATCCTACCTGAGTTCTCGTTCACTACAGTAGTGCTTTCTCTATAAATACTTTGTAAATTTCAGTCAACAAAAAGAAACGGGATTAAATGATTTAGCTTTTTAAAATATTCCTACAAGCGTTTTTATAAGATACTTAGTGATATCCAACTGATAAATTCATTAGCGATTGTTTGAAAT